TAAAAGTGTCTTGAAAAATATCTAGTCAAATATTTTGTTCTGTCATCATGGCAAAGACAAAAAAAAATCAGTTATTAGAAATGAGTTATTAAATCGGTTACGTTTAGAAATGTGTTAAAATAAATAAACGGGGGCTAATTCAGGGAGTTTAATAATCCTGATTACAACTGTAAATGTTTTGCTTTGTGAAATAACTGATGCTGATTGTAAAATGACATGTGTTTGCTTTTTCCATTTAGGTGTTTTTGTCTTAAAAATAATATTTTTCTTTATAGTACACATTTTTACAATAAATAGGTTAAACCAAATAATGCTGAATGTTAGCATTGGCTAATTAGTTCAAAAACAAAATTATTCAAAGAAACAAAATTTTTACTACTGTATTAAATATTTTTTTTTTAAATAAATAAACAGTAATGAAAAAAAATAAAAATAAATAAATATATATAAAATAAAATAAATAAATACACTTAGTTAGTTAAGTCAATATTTGAAGTGGATCAAAACCTTTAAATCAACGTTGTCCTAAAATGATTGACCACCCATTCTTGTTTTAGGATAATTTTTAAAACCCTTTTTGAACCACGCACTTATTATGAATAAATAAATAAATAAAGTAATATTTAAATATAAAGTATAAAGTAATATTTAAAAAATACTTAAAGTAATATTGAAAATTTTTTATTAGAATATTTAAGAATACAAAATATAATGCATATTAAACAATAAATATATATTAAAAACAGAATAAAAAGTGAACATTGGCTTCTTGGTTTATTAATAAATAAAGGTCAAATTTACAAACATTAATTTCATCTGTATTTATATTTAATTTACATATTTAGAATATTTTAATAACTAAAATGTATTTCATATTATATGCAGTACACTACACACTGCAAAACAAAAAGTGTGTTCAATATATAAAATAGCAGAGAATTAAATCAGACATTTTTTAGTTAACAGGGATTGGGCATAACATCACAATGTAAATTTATACTTCCTTTCCACACAAAAGCATTATTACATAATTAAATTGCAGTTTCAGCCGTTTTTACCATGCTTACCTTTTTAATAGTGTAGAGAGAGGTAGCTATTGATATGAAGGACATGACGACTATGGCCATTGCGTAGTAATAGTATTCATCTGTACACCACAGAACAACACTGAAGAGCTGGAAGATGTAGAAAGGATTGAGGACCTAGGAAAGAGAGAGACTGGTTTCAGTTCCTTCATTTCATCTTCCTGACTAGACATTTTTTTTTTCATAAGAGTGGAGTCAGCAGAATCACATTGCACTCGTACCTCCTTAATTAGCAGCTTGAAAAGAGAAGGCACTTTCACATCAATTTCATTCAGACCGAAAAAAAATCTCCTAAAATAAATAGAGAGAGAAAAAAAACAATGTCAAATTTGTACAATCAGTTAAACAATTATAAGATTTTACTAAAATAATGGATATTTAAAAAAAGTATATATATAAAATATAAAATAAAATATATGCTAAATATATATTATAATATAATATAATATAATATAATATAATATAATATAATATAATATAATATAATATAATATAATATAATATAATGCACAGATAGATGAATGGACAAATCAAAATAATAAAAATAGCAAAATCATAATTGATTAATATTGGCCATTATCACGAAAAAAAAACAAAAACGTAAACTCATTTATTGAAAGAAATCTCTTTAAATATTATTTCTGTAAGACGTAAGATATCAAAAATATTTTGACATTGTTGACAATTCAAACATGAGCCGAAAACAGAGACAATGGGCTCCACAACCCAGCGGGTGGGAATGCGGGCAAAACCAGCTCCCCCCCTCCATTCCTCCATTTACATTTGAAACATTTCTCAACTCGCACAGAATGGTCATTTTAAAGTCTGAATGCTCTAAATCAACCCAAGTGACTTTATCTATCATGTTTGATATCATTTGAAATGTCTCAGTGCGACTGGTAGGATGGTCTGATTCCCTCAGAAATAGACAAATCAAAACAATAAATATATATCTTCAGGTATCTTTTGAACCACTGTGAAGGGTGTGCCTGTCCAATAGGAAGAAACTCTTTCACTAAACGCAAATGCCTTTTGTTATTTACACACTCCTTTCCTTGAGGGGATTCTTGGATTTACTACTTAAGGGAAGGTTTCTAAACTGTTCTGCGCAATTCTGCTACCCAGATCAGCCCATAACATGGAGCTCTAACACTCCATGTTATGTATATTTTGAAGTCCGGTATGCATCTTTTAATCTTGGATTTATCTTTGATAATTTGATGTCTTGTATTGATCGTTTATTAATTGACTGAATGAATTGGCATAATACACATTTACCTCACTATTAAACTGTTATGTTTGAACATAACCTTACTTTTCAATAATATTTAACATGGTCTTTAAATCACAAAATTAGGGTCGTTGATATCTTTTTAATAAAGCAATGCTGAATATTAATTGATATTATATCTATGAGTACAAAATAGCATACATTAATTGCTTAAATTGTATAGAATTGTTTTTAATATTGGGTATTTATTGGTTAAAGGCACAACTTAAAATATATATATTCTTGCTATAAATATTAGATATATTCTAAATATTTTCTAAATATTCTTATTCCTAATTTTACTTCTATTTATTTATTTTATTAACACACACACATAAATATATAATGATATCATAAATATAATGATATTTCTACTATACAAACTATATATTATTTTGCCCTACACCAACCTTACCCCGAAACCCTCACAGGAAACAATCTGCATTTATACATTTTGAAAATACTATGTTCTGTGTGATGAGCACATTTACCCATGAGGACTTCAATTTTGGTCCCCAAGGTGGGTGACATGTCCCTTATGGGCCTTTGTGCATTCAGTTCTAAGTCCCCACCGGGATATAAAAACAAGTATACACACACAAATCAAAATAAAAAGAAACAAATTAAGAGCAAAACAAACAAGTAAAAAAAAAGTTACATAGTAGCTTTTTACATAATTCTTACACAATTATGTATATTAGGATTTTAATATTTTAATATATTCTATATATTTATTATAAAATATAATCTCTAAATTACAAAAAAAAAACAAAAAAAACTATGAAATCATTATTTCAATTGAGAAATAAGTTGCAGCTGGAAGGGCATCTGCTGCATAAAAAAACATATGCTGGATAAGTTGGCGGTTCATTACGCTGTGGCAACCCCAGATTAATAAAGGGACTAAGCCGAAAAGAAAATGAATGAATGAATGAATGAATGAGAAACAAAGGTATGTATGAAAGAAAGACCTGACCTGTACTCCTGCTGGTTCTTGTTGAGTCCGGCACTGTGCTTTGAATGAACGGATGAGCAGCTGATGTTCAGATCCTCCAGGCCTCTGCACAACACAGGAGAAAACTGCTTTAACATCATCATCATCATCATCATCATCATCATCTCAGAGTAACAGACACACACACGTGCACTTACTTTAACACTTCAAAGTTCTGGATAGTGTCGTTCCAAAAGTATTTTGTGCTGTGGAGGGTGAAATAGCGGATCTATAATACAAAAAAGAGAAGTTTAAATAAAGACATTTATTTTATCACCAATCAAGTTTAAGACAATACTTGGAAAGTGTTTTTCACGTATAAGGTCAAGAAAATGAAAATCAAAAAAAAAAAAAAAAAAAACATCCAAAATGCATACAAGTTTGTTTGTCGGACTTAAACAATTTGTCTCTAGAATTTAATTTAAATTCATATTTTTAAAGGGCATTTTCAATTTTTTTTCGTCCAACAATGAATGATAAATCTCAACTTCTGGACATCTTACATACATAAAAAATAATATTTAATCTAATAAAGCTTTTTTGGCTGTTCATTGTATTTCCTGCATTATGGAGTGATAAAGAGATTCCAAAATCTCCTTAGCAAAACTTGAAATGAAACGAGACTTTTTGAATCAAACTTCACTGTTCAGATTTTTGAACTAAACATGTATGTAAATGCTATAACTCAATGCCTCATTTACATAATTAAACAACATTTTAGAAAACTTATCAAAAAATGCCATTCCTAATATAATGAATCAACTTTGGGGTATTATAGTGATTACTATTAGATTTTTTTTTTACAATATTCCTCTATTCACTATTTGTATACATAATTATTACAGAATACATAATGAATAAATTGTCATTATTTACTCATCCTCCAATGTTATTACACCTATACACCTTTTAGCTATACAGTATACTAATCTATTATATACTGAACATTATTGGAAAATAGCAGCCATTAACTTCCATAGTGTCTTTTTATATCTAAAATGGATCTCAATGGCTGCTTTTTTTACATTCTTCAAAATATCTTATTTTAGGGTGAGAAAATATTCATTCTTGGGTTTACGCTCTCTCTTTAAGCTTGATGAAGAAAGCAGAATTCAGCTTTAAAGGAGGGTTAAGATGGACCTGCACTTGCTGGCTTTCTACACTCCTGCTGATTTTGTTGTGGGTGGAGTCAGTCATGTTGTGGGCGTGGTCATTGGCCTGAGGGGAGGCGGTCTGGGAATTCAGGGTGTCATAGGGGTTCTTCCCAGGAGCCAGCATTATCCGAACCTTCGCCCGAAACCAGCGCTTAAATTCATCCTGCAGATGACACACACACACACACACACACACACACACACACACACACACACACACACACACACACACACACACACAACACTGGAATTAACTGTTACATTTATTACCAACTAAAACAAGTTCTGATCCTAATGCTCAAGCTGCAGCTATAACAAATAATAAGAAATAAGAAAAGTGACCACTAAAGGTATTAAATTACAGTGTATTTATATAATGCCACTGTTATGAATTCATTAAGTATCTTTATCGTTATTCTTCTCATATACAAGACCATAATAAGAATTTAGTATAAGTCAATAAATAGAAGCAAAATATTTTCATCCATTACATTTTGGGTGTTTGTATGTTTGTATTAAAAGAAATAACGTACAATTTTAATTCGTTAACATATACGTTTCATTTTTGGGTGGACTTTTTGTCCTGAGGTCCTGATAGTGATTAATTTTGTACTCTGTGTAAACCAGACTTATAAAAGAGAAAGGAGGGTGACAAAAAATATTAAGATTTAAAAACATGACAAATGAATAAGTGATTTTAAAAATGCATTTTGTTTAAACTATCAGAGAAAAACGCAATAAAAACGACAAAAATCTCCATTCAACATAAAGAGAACACAAAAAATGTTACAGACATTTCACTACTTTGAATCTGATGTGAAGGCTTCCATATTGCAAAGTTTTATAAAACAAATTCAGTCAAATTCACCCACTACAACTTTACAGAAATCCAAGTGGACTTTTCGGTTTCAACATAGGATTGCATCACTTTAACAAGCAACATACCCACAAACTGATTTCCAGCTTACCACTGCACTATAATTATGACCGGCAGCCATTCATAAAAACATGACGTCTGCAGTATTAGCTGTACACTGTTATCTTAAACACTGTGAAGATGAGGTATGTGAAGTATTTATTCTTGCCTATATGAAGTCAAGTAGAGGCGTGTGCTCAGATAAAGCAGAAGTTATCAAATTGTACGCCAAGGCATGATAAGACATGAATGGTGTTACTGAATTAACATGAAATCAAAATGGTTACTTTTTCAAAATGCCTCTAGTTTTATTATTCGATTATTCCTTACAGCTTATTTGTAGATTAAACCTGATGTTTATCATGCAGGTCACTTTGAATGTTGCTTTAAAATCCTTTTTTTTTTTTTTAAACAAAACTTGGTATTGTCTTTCCTATTGTCATGAGACCAGTCTTGATAGTCTTGATAGATCTTTTACATCATGCCAAGAATATGCACACCAATTAAGAACAGTATATAATATTTACCACTAGAGGGCATGAATTCACAAAAAAAAAAGGTATAGTTTTATGATGTCATGTCATTGGTAGGATGTCAAAAATGCATCTGAGGCCTTATTTGGACATCTCTTTTGCATTCGCTAGTTCAAGTCATGTGAAGCGGCTTCCAGGTCCAAATGCTATATCAAACTGTATGGGGAGGCTCAACAAATGATAATAATAAACGTTTACGAAGCACTGTAATACTTTCGAAAAGCACGATCACAATATATATGTATATACATGCATGTCTAATATCAGACGTCCAGAAAGTGGTTAATTAATTACACCAGTGGTCATAAACAAATATTTCCTCAATTCAAATGGGTAACGGCTTAGACTCGGAAACAGTATTTCACACTAAAAATTGTGAGTCAATCATGTAAAATTAGGAGCAACGCCACCTATTGGTCAAAAATGCTAAAGCACTAAAATTACATAACTATAGAGTACATTTATGAATTGTTAACTTGTAACAAATGTTAAACTGATTCTCCCTGCCATCTTTAGCCTGGTGTCAATGTATGAAATTTGGGCCCAATCTTAATTCTACCCATTAGCCCTTCCTTTTACCCCTTGTCCAAATTCTCTTTAGCTTGAAGGTGTAGGGCTAGATACCCCTTGAAATGGAGTATTTTTAGAACCACACTTAAAATCAAGGGGTACAAAAGTTTCCCAGAATACACCATGGAAGTAAAGAGATGCACAAATTAGTATTTTTGTCATTATTTTGAATTTTTACAGCAAATAAGCATGTTTTAATATGTTCATAATGACGTTTGTGGTTTACCGTTATGTTTAAAAATAAATAAATAAATAAAAACGCCAAGATAAAAAAACGTTACATTTTCCATCTATAATCCAATAATATAGCTCCTGTATAGAAGTCCCACAACATATTTTCACATCTGCCACTCAATGACACTGGACTACTCTGTCAGAAAAGTCTAGTGGCTGGGAATGAGCTTTTTACAGTGTCTGCTATAATGTTAATGTTGTTTTTGTGTGTTTACGAGGATGAATATGGCCAGAGTGTAAATACACAGTATAGTTACGATGTTATTGCCACATTATATTATTATGATAACATAATATATGCCTTTAGTGACTTCCTGAAGATAAACACCAAAAAATAACACAACTTGAATAACTACAGTCATGATTGTCTGATCTCATTTGAAGCAAGAGATCTTGAGGACATATGATAATGTGTGCATGTGTTGCAGTGATGTCCCATTTTTTAGAAGTAAATTTTAAAGCCCTTTCCCTTCACACTCTGAAGAGGTAGGGGTACAAAAACAGAATTAAGATTGGGCCTTAGTCTTGTTGTTTTTTAATAAAATAATTTTTTATTATTTTTAAACTACCCACAAAAGCCAGTACATAAAAACTGTATTCATATTCATCGGTATATTCATTTCACTTTTATAAAAACTGTTTGGAAGATTTAATTTGACACATTCAGTTCTTAAACGCTGCAGTGAATTGCTGTTGTCGCCTATATTCATTTTTAATTTAGATTTTTATTAAAACTCTAATGTTTGGAATACTTCCTTTGACACGTTTAGTTCTTAACGCTTTATTTTTTTTGTGTGAGATTCTACAGCAGTGAAATGCTATTGTCAAGTTCATTAATATTATTTTTATTAAACTAATCATATTTGAAATGCTTAATTTGATATTTATTTTTAAACGCTTTATATCTGTAAGCGTTTCTACAGCAGTGTAACTCTATTGCCGTGTCCATTAATTTAAATTTTATTAAAACGCTAATGTTTGGAACACTTTATTTGACAGGTTTAATTCTAAAACCCTTTGTTTTTGTTAGTGTTTCTACAGCAGTGAAATGCTATTGTCGCAGCAAAATATAACGTAATATCTCCATGCACAGTAAGAAAAAAATTGACTCAACTCAAAATTGTAAGACAACTTGCTGCAGAGCTTTGAGTTGAATCTACTTTCAACCCAAGAACTGATATTGACTATTTAAGTTAAGTCAACTAAAAAATTTTAAGTTGAGCCGACTTTTTTTCTCTAACAGTGTGCAATCCAGAACATCTTACTCAGACACTATTCCAGTACAAAGCACATGTTAAGTGTAAAAGTGGATTCACTGAGATCTAATACATACAGTGCTGCGTAACAGAGCAACTTCTGCGTCTCTGACAGTGGTCCGTGTGCATGTGGCCTTCACACACCACTCAGGCATCCAGTAGAGCAGTAGGAAAAGAAAACCACCTGTACAGAAACCACCACAACACACTAGAACCAGTTTCCATCGGCACAGACGGAACCCTCTCAACTCCTGCAGAGAGACAGATCATAAATGAGCCAATGCACTTATAGAGATTTTTATATTTTAAACCAATATAACCACATACCATCTCATCCTCCAAACCCCTGTTGACAACCTTGAGATCTTCCTTCTCCATCCTGATCTTCAATCCTGGCTGAAAAGTGCTGCGCTCCTGCAAACACACATAGACACATGCAGAGATCACACGCTAAGAGAGTGTGTGTGTGTGTGTGTGTATGAGTTGTACAGTAAGAATTGTGTAAGGCCCAACAACAGCTGTTATAGCATTGGGTTGTATTAAAATCCGGCTGACCTAAGATGACACACAATCATGTGCACATATAAACACAAACACTTCCTGTGAGTCACTCTGAGCTTTGCAGCTGAACGCCACGCTGAGAGCCTTCACACACACACAGATGTCAATCCAGAGGGGCAAAATCAAACAAAGGGAAAAAAAAATTTTTTTGTGGTCCATTGTGACAATTTACCCAGTTGTGAGTTTTGGAATCAAAGTAGAATGAAAAAAATGAAAGAAAATTAAATGCAATAAAAATAATAATAATAATTTTATATTTGATGAAATGTTTTGATCTACCTCAAAAATTGACTGCTGTGTGCATGTATGTGAATGTGTGTCTATATATGCAAACATCAAACATCTATCTATCTATCTATCTATCTATCTATCTATCTATCTATCTATCTATCTATCTATCTATCTATCTATCTATCTCATATACACTGATCAGCAACTTTATTAGGTACGTGGGTTGGACCCCTTTTTGTCTTCAGAACTGCCTTAATCCTTTATGCCAAAGATTGAACAAGATACTGGAAATATTCCTCAGAGATTTTGGTCCATATTGATATGATAGCATCACGCAGTTGCTGCAGATTTGTCGACTGCACATCCATGATGCAAATCTCCCGTTCCACCACATCCCAAAGGTGCCCTATTGGATTCAGCTCTGGAGACTCATCAGACCGGGCTTTTCTAATCTTCTATCGTCCAATTTTGTTGAGCCTGTGCAAATTGTTGCCTCAGTTCCCTGTTCTTTGTTGACAAAAGTGGCACCCGGTGTGGTCTTCTGCTGCTGTAGCCCATCTGCCTCAAGGTTGGACCTCGGTTGTAACGAGTGGTTATTTGAGTTACTGTTCCTCTGACCTCTTGATTAGGCATTTACGCCCACAGAACTGCTGCTCACTGGATATTTTCTCTTTTTCAGACAATTCTCTGTAAGCCCTAGTGATGGTTGTGCATGAAAATCCCAGTAGATCAGCAGTTTCTGAAATACTCAGAAAAGCCCGCCTAGCACCAACAACCATGCCACGTTCAAAGGCATTGAAATTAACTTTCTTCCCCATACTAATGCTCAGTTTGGACTGCAGCAGGTCATCTTTACCATATTTACATGCCTAAAAACAGAGTTGAGGTGATCGGCTGATTAGAAATTTGTGTTAACAAGCAGCTGGACGGGTGTACCTAATAAAATGGCAGGTGAGTATGCGTGTGTGTGTGTGTGTGTGTGTGTGTGTGTGTGTGTGTGTGTGTGTGTGTGTGTGTGCAAAAGCTCACCAATAAATAAAAATTAATAAAATGGCAACAATAATAAAACAGTTCGGCAACATCTAGAGTTGAAAAAAAACACATTTTTGAAGATATCATTGATGTATGATTGATGTTTCCATCAGACTTTGAACTGAATTGCTTACATTGCTTAAGCTTGCATGAGCGAGGTTCAAACTATCATTCTAACAGTTCAGAATCAACCATAAAGTTAACAGCCAGGTTTATTCACTCACTCTCTCACCACCTTTTTAATTTTCATTTGCTGTTAACTGAGTGTTAACTTTGGACATTGGATGCACACACAGAGAATGAGTGATTAACGGTTCAACATTTCATGTAAGAGCTGCAGTTGTCTTGAAGAGTGACAGGAATGTACAGCGCATGAGTGTGTGTGTGTTGGGGAAAGAGTAGATGATCAGAGAAAAACACTGGGGTCATTCAGTCAAGAGACTTTCTCCAGCTCTCATAATCATTATACAAACTTGCCAATCCATCATTCCCATAACAAACAAGCAGCCGAACAAAGTCTTGACAATAAAACTGCTTAACCCAAAAGTATTCTGTAACTTATTTAAGAAATTTCTTGATAATTCACAGTGTTTGTCTTTTTTTTACGACTTTAACACTTACAGCAGCATCCCTAAATAAATCAAACATCTTTATGGGTGGGCATTAGGGCCTGGGGCTGTTAGTGCTGTGGCAAGACATGCTGGCTTAAATTTTCCATAACAGGTTGACGCTGATGTTTACATTTCATAGAATTACCATACATCAAATAACGCCACGCATCTGCAAGCTCAAACCATTACATTGAACATATCATTAGTGACTAGCAGCTTTTCACACAGAACATATGAGGTAAAGCTGTGGAATGGGTAAAAAAATACAAGGTTATGAGATACGAGTTTGAACTTGCATTGTTACAATATGGTTTATGACGCAGTGCAAAAGATACACGAGTAAGAGTGTGAAAAAAGGAACAGAAATACTGTGGAAAACCTGTAATGACTACTGCGTACAACTACGTCATAAAAAAAGCCTGTTACTGGTGTTGTCCTTTCAGTCAATTTGAGTAGACGCTTTAAAACTGAGTGACTACATTTTGGCTAATAATCATTCATTTTTTTTGCTTGTTTTCTGAACAGATAGGATGTTTATGGCAAGAATATATAATATTTGCCTTTATATTTCACATACTTTTTCTGCAACTTGAATATATAAACTCTATTTTTATATTTACTCTTATTTTGACCTCCTCATGTGCACTTCCACTAGAAATGTCTTCACTCATACAGTTAATAAAGGTAATGTGACTTAAGGGGCTATGTACATGTAACATATTTGACATGCTCAAGTTCGTTATTAAAAATGGAGACATACAACATGCAGGCAAATATTGAGCGATGTGGTTGCAATGCGCACACATGGTGTACAGGTATCTTGCTCATGCAGATGTAGAGCATCCAAACACAACACCACGTTTTAATATGGTCCATAAATTACATTTTTATCAGAGATACAGCAAGGGTTTGAAACCAGCACGCCTCAAGTTTTCATGTTTTATTACATAATTAATTTTAAATTATATTGTAGTTTATATAAACAAGACAAAAACAGTTGTTCGTTTACACTTTCAAATTCAAAATCTCTGAGCTGACAACGATTTTATTATTTTTTTTTTTGTTTAATTTTATTGCTATTTTTAGTAATTTGAAACTTTCATCTTAGTTGATCATCTAAATCAGGGGTCACCAATCTCGGTCCTGGAGGGCCGGTGTCCCTGCAGGGTTTAGCTCCAACTTGCTTCAACAAACCTGCCTGGATGTTTCAAGTAAACCTAGTAAGACCTTGATTAGCTTGTTCAGGTGTGTTTGATTAGATTTGGAGCCAAAATCTGCAGGACACCGGCCCTCCAGGAACAAGTTTGGTGACCCCTGACCTAAATTATGAAATGAGCTACCAATGCGTATTTCTTTATATATTATTTTCTACACAACAGCTTCAAAATACCAACAAAAGTCAATAAGGTGAAACATAAAAATTGTCAGTGCATAGATCAAATCCCACAACACATTTTGAAAGCATAAATACAGGAGGTAAGTAGTAATGAGTTCCATTTATTTCGGTAAACTTACTTGAGTAAAATTGTTAGGTAGCTTGTACTTTGAGGACATTTAAATATGTGTAATTTTACTCTTACTCGAGTAAATGCTTAGAGAGAAAAATGTTACTCTTACGTTTGGTGGCGTTCCTCCATTACTACCAAATGGTACAAGATGATACATATGACTAATATTGCAAGGTGCCTCCTGTTTTTGATTACAGCACGCACTCCTGTGTGAAGAGCATCTCCGAATGCTCAACACGCCCAATCTCGAGGCAGATGGGCTACAGCAGCAGAAGACCACATTGGGTGCCACTCCTATCATCTAAAAACAGGAAACTGAGGCTACAATTCGCACAGGCTCATCAAATTTGGACGATAGAAGATTGGGAAAATGTTGCCTGGTCTAATGGGTCTCGCTTTCTGCAGCAACATTCGGATGGTAGGGTCAGAATTTGGCATCAACAACATGAAAGCAGGGATCCATCCTGTCTTGTATCATCGGTTCAAGCTTCTGGTGGTGCTGGTGTAAAGGCTGATTCGTACTTTTGTGTCAAGCGCACACATAT